CAAGGACAGCTTGAGTCTGGCCATCACTTTGTTGGAGGTTGTTGGTCCCTGCCTGACATCCCAGCGTCCCCACAGACATGGGTCTTTGGGTTCAGCTGAGATGGACGTGTGGTTGAATTCAGGGCCGACTTCAGCTAGACCCCCCATGCCTGGTCCTGCGGGTGTTCCCTCGAGAGGCCTCTGCCCCCTTCCTCCCCTCCTTGCCAAGGTCCCCTGGGAAGCTGTGAACCCTGAGGACGTCCAAGACCACATGTGCTCTGGCTCCTGTGAGCACTTCCTGCAGAGCCGCTGTGGTCCTGTTCTTGCCTTGGTCCTTCCTGCCCCGCCTCCCTTGGAAACCGTCCCTGTGGCCCTTGCAGCCACGCGCACCAGGTGCTCTCCGGGCCCACCCGTGCGCATGGTGCTCAGGGTCAGCGTGCCCCCAGAGGTGTGTGCACTTTGGTCATGATGGGGTGGCTCAGGGGCCGCCTTTATGATGGAGCCCAAGGGGCTGAGCGCGCTCAGGAGAGCTGTGCGAACGGGGCAGCCAGCGGGCACGCCGCAGCGGACATCCTCCCGCCGCAGGAGAAGCAGAAGTTGCTAGATGAGATCGAAGAGCTGTCCCTGCGGCTCAGTGATGAGCAGGAGAACAGGAGGAAGCTGGGGGACAGGCTGAGTCACGAGAGGCACCAGTTCCAGAGGGACAAGGAGGCAACCCAGGAGGTGAGCCTGGCATCCTCTGTGTCCGGAGACCGGAGGCCGGTAACCAGGTCGTGCCGGGCAGGGCTGCTGGGCGGGAGGGGTTTGGGAAGCGTGGCATCGTCCTCCTGCTTGGGGATGGCGCTGGATGCAGCCAGAGGTCAGGACGCCGAGGGCTGGCACTTGCTGCCTCGGTGCCTGGAACCCGGCTCCCCCGCACGTGCCCGCAGCTGATCGAGGACCTGCGGAAGCAGCTGGAGCACCTACAGCTCTTCAAGCTGGAGGCCGAGCAGCGGAGGGGCCGCGGCAGCAGCGTGGGCCTGCAGGAGTACAACAGCCGCACCCGCGAGAGCGAGCTGGAGCAGGAGGTCCGCAGGCTGAAGCAGGTGCGGCAGACTCGCCCCTGGGGCGCTGCGGAAACTTCCGGGCCCAGCACGGGGCAGGGTCATGCGGGGGGCTGGGACGCTGAGCGGGAAGCCCCTCTGGCCGGTCCCTGTGCCGGTTCAGCCACCAGTAGGGTCCCAGCTGCAGGAGTGAGGCTCCCGCGCGCTCCCCCACCCAGGATAACCGTAACCTGAAGGAGCAGAATGACGAGCTCAATGGGCAGATCATCAACCTGAGCATCCAGGGCGCCAAGAACCTCTTCTCCACGTCCTTCTCGGAGTCCCTGGCTGCGGAGATCAGCTCCGTCTCCCGAGATGAGGTAAGGCCTGGCCAGGCCCGGCCACCCATGTGTGCCATGGTCTGTGCACCAGGCCGGCGCTGACACCGCTCTTCCCGCAGCTCATGGACGCGATTCAGAAGCAGGAGGAGATCAACTTCCGGCTGCAGGATTACATTGACCGGATCATCGTGGCCATCATGGAGACCAACCCATCCATCCTGGAGGTCAAATAGAGGCAGGAAGGCCCAGCCTGGTGGGCCCAGGACCCCACCTACACTCAGGAGATGGCCACGGCACGCGTGCGCCTGAGACCAGTGGCTGGGGGCGCAGTGACGGGTCTGCGGAAGGAGAAGGAACGGGAGCCCAGGGCTGGGGCCCACACAGGAGAGGGTGGGGCTGGGCTGCTCTCTGCAGAGATGCGGAGACTACGTCTCCAGCTCAGGTGAGCCCTTCTGGGAGCTCCCTCCCATGTGGCAGACCCCGCTGCTGCCTACCCATCAGGGAAGGAAGGAAGGATGTGTCCCCACCAGGGTGCTTCTGCATGATCTGCTCAGAGGCCGTCACGTGATGGCACGGCAGCCCCAGGACCCTCTCGCTAGATGCGGTGGCATGGGGAGTACAGGCAGCCGGGGCGTGCGCGTCAGGGTTTGGCTGGGAGCTGCGGGGGTCCCAGCTTTCCCGGGGCCGGCTCCCGTCCAGAGGATCACTTCGGTCCAGCGCCAGACCCTCCCGTGGAGGCTGGGGCAGGAGCCTCCCTTTTGAAATCAGGACTTGAGAGTCTCACCATGCGGAGCATGCTCTCTGGACAGGGTGGGTGTCACTGGCCTTTGTGACCCCAGGTGCAGGCAGCATCCTGGTGAGAAACTGCCTCCCGGTTGGGGTGGCCTCCCTGGCTTCCTGGAGCAGCCCCTCCCCCGGCAGGTCTCAGCTGCCCCAGGGGAGTCCCGGTTTCCTAAGCAGAGTGCACGTTTCCCCTGGGATTTGAAGTCGAAGTGGCCGTCCTTCCCCAAGCTGGGTTTTGCAGGTGGCCAAGCTCTGCTGGTTCTCCCAGTACATGATCAAGAATGGAGAACAGGGCCCTCCCAGCAGCCTGGGGGCTCCGTTAAGGAAATCATTGCCTGGCTCTGTGCCCCCAGTGCCAGGCACCGCATCACCATGGGGGCCGCTGGGCCTGCACACAGACGGGCCACTGCTGTGTGCACGTGTGCGTGAGAGGGCATGTGTGTGTGTGTGTGCGTCTGCGTGCGTGTGTGTGTGTGTTGCCCTGCGTCCCTCCGTCCTCCATGTGGCCCACCTTCTACACTAAGATTTAAGACGTTGCCTCGTATTGTACATTTTGGGGAAAGCCTTGGGTGTAAATCAGTGTAAACTTGGAGGAGAGATTTTTCTATCATGTAGAGTAGGTATTTTTTATAGATTGAAGGTTGATCAATTTTTTAATACTTCCAAGAGAGAAAACTATCTGTGTATACACATAAAATATATATATGTATGATAATAAATACTGGAACTCTGCTTTCCGTGCCCAGCCCTGCCCCGGTGACACAGATGTGGGTCTGTCTCTGTCCATCACTCAGCTGTCCCGTAACTGTAAACGGGGACTGCTGGGAGAGGCTTCACACAGACACCCAGACGTCGACATGCACAGTGACCCTGTTGCCTTCCCCTTGAGAAAGACTCTTCAGGCAGTGCCGTGGTGGCCTGGCTGCTGAAGGGCAAGGCCAGGACAGTCTCGCTGAAGATTAAAGCTGTCTATACACGCAGAGACCGGCTTCTTCCTCCATGGGGTCTGCGGGCTGGGTGGGGTGCCCTGGGCCTGGCCTGGCCCTCCAAGGTATCCGGGGGTCTCTGTACCATGTGAGCTCTGTAGGAGAGCTTCTGTTCAAGCTGACCCCTCCTACAGGTCCCAGGCTTGTACCTCTAGTCTGGACCCCCAGCAGAGCTCAGCCAGGGGGCCCTCCTGGGGTGAAGCCGTGTGACGGGGCCTTTGGGGCCGTGGGTGTTCATGGTGGACACAGCGAGTGCAGGCTGGGTTGAGGGGCTGCATCCCAGATCTGGGGCTTGGTGATGTCCCCAGGACGTCATGCACGGTACCCAAACTGAAGGCACAGGCTCAACACGGATTGGCTCAAAGATGAGGAAGGTCAGTCTGGGTGGTCAGGCTCGGGGGAGAGCGCAGGTACCACCGTCGTCAAGGGCACGCAGTGAGAAGATTCTGTGGGTAAGTGAGCAAATGTAATTTGAAGTGGGAGTTAGCCAAAGCTCCCAAACTCAGTTCCCCAGCCCAGGCGTCCACGAAGCAGCAAACCATGCGTCTAACACCTCCCTCGCACGGAGCTAGCTGCCTGCACGTCAGAGACAAATGGACCACCTGAGGTTCAGGGAAGGCCAAGGACCCCACCCTCAGCCATCCAGCAGGGCACTGAAGGGGCTTGAGCCCAGGTATGTTGGCCCATGGGGCCGACAACCTGACGCCAATGGTGAGTGGACACAGTATGGCTTGTGAGCAGGGGCCGCCAAGGTCAGGCCTGGGAGTCCTGGATGCTGTGTGGGATTGCAGTGAGGAGTGAACCTGGGGGGCTGTTGGTGTGTGGACATGCCCAAGGCCAACTTCCTGCCCACAGCCACCTCCCCGCTAGTTTCCCAGGGTCTGGAGAGTGTGTGAAGCTCCAGGCTCTGTCCTGTGCTCCTGGCGCTCAGAGCAGGTAGTTCCCTAGACAGGCCAGTGCGCTCTCATTAGCAAGCCCATTAGCGGGACTTGGGCCCCGCTGCCCACAGGTGGGACCAACAGAACTTATGGCCTGGGAGGGATGGCATTGTGCTGTGGCCTGGGGTGCAGGCTTCAACCACACACTCCCGCTGGAGCTCTGCACAGAGGGCCTGCTCAGCATTGGGGTGCCCAAGTGCTGTGGTGGCAAGTTCGGGTCAGGGAGGGTCCAGGACACACTTGTCCCCAGCCTGGGCGCACTGGGTGATACCTGCCCTCCCCCTACCTGTCTGTCTGGAGCCTGCAGGGCCCACCCCTGCCTAGGAGAAGCTGCAGGTGGGGAGGGGGCCTAGCTCCATCAGGTGTTTCATTTATGCTCTTAAACATGTGGGGGCCCATCCATGGTCTGGCCCCCCCAGCAGCCAGTTCTGAGATCCCTGCCCTGGCCCTCCCAGGGTCCCCAGCCCGATGGGGAGATTGTTATCCACTGGAACAGGGTCGGGCTGGAGAACACTTGGAAATCCACCGTAAATGGAAACAGCAGTGCCCACTGCCAGCCAGGAAGGGCCCCCCCAGACCCAAGTGCGCCCCTTCCATGTGGGGACCCTCCACCCTAACCTTGAAGTGACCTGGCCACAAGCCCCCCAGGCTGATCCTGTCTGAAGTCAGCTCATGTCTGTTGAGGACTGCTTGAACCCTCCAAGTCGGTCAGTCCTGCATGATAGAGGAGCACAAAGCAAGGAAGATGGCATCTGGTGGGTGGGGGCATGGCTGTCTGGGCCCTCCAGCTGTCCCTTGAGCACTGCCCATGCCCTGCCTTGGCCCTGCCCCAACCCAGCCATGCTGAAGGAAGGATGCCCCAGCACCTGCCGTTCCACCTGCTGGCAGTTCAGAGACCTGGAGGTGGTGGCCCTGGGAAGGGCCCTTACTTTTTTCCTTATATGGGGATCTGTTCTCCTATTTAAGCCAGGCACAGGGGGCAAGGGGTGGTTCACAAAGCAGGCAATGATGAGTCATTCCTTAAAACTGGCCAGAACACGGGTTGCGTGTCTCAGCACAGGGTGTTCTGCATTTGGCCCACCTTGCCTCCAGCATGTACGTCCCACCCCTGAGGGTCCCTGAGCCCCAGTCCCACTAGAATCCCCAGTCTATGATTGGGCCATTTGGGTCCCAAAGCAGAGAACTCCATAGGCACAGGGATGCTTGAACCATTGCCTCCCACCACCGCCAACAGACACTGTTCCCAACCCTTGTTCAGGAGGCTCCTCTCCAACACGGAGCAACTCCAGTTCCGAAGACTGTTCCTGACCCCTGTTGGGATGACTGGGCTTTCTCCCCGCCCCTCCAACAAGAGGCCTTGGCCCCTCCCCGGGGAAGGCAATGCTCCTACACCCCCGACCGCCGCGTAGACCATGACTCTGAAACCTGCAGTGAGTGGGCAGGGATCTCCCTTCGGTTTCAGCTGTTCTCCTTAGGAGGTTAGGGGCTGAGGACCACCAGTCCAACAGCCAACCCAGCCAGTGTCCATGGTGGGTGGGGGCGAGCTGTGGTTACTGAGGCCCCCCCACCAGGTGATTGCCCTTGACTGTCCACTCATGTGATTCCACAGCCACACAATTTCACCATTCAGGTGAGGAAGCTAGGGGCAGGCCAAGACACTGTACAGCTCTGTCCCCAGAAGCTTGCTGCTTAGAGGGCTCAGGAAGCAACTCCGCTCCTGCTGCAGCTACTGGAGAGTGAGAGGGGGTTGCCAGGGAGCACTGAGCTCTGTCCCTGTAGGTCCTACTGAGGTCAGCTGACTTTCTGGGCACTTAGAACAAACATGACCCAATTTTACACTTGGGAAATTCGGCCTAATCTGGAGGCACTGCCACTCTCCCTGAATCCCTCTTAGCAGACATGCCTTGCTTCCGTGTCTCTCTCACGACCAGTGCCCCCCGAGCGCCCAAAATTTCTCCGGGCTCTGCCCTCAGCGTCCCGTCTTCCCGCCCTACAGCCTCCCGCGCTGCGCTAGCATCCGGCGAGCCGCCTCGCTGCAGGTCTGGCTGTCTCCCAAACATACAGGCTGCGCGGGGCCTCCGGTTCCGTGAGTGCTGGTTGTGAACGACCTCAAGCTGCCCAGAGGGACCTTGAGGCGAGAGGTTTGACCTAGGAGGCTCTTTTGTCAATTCGGCGTTGGGCGGGTGGGTCCGGTTCAGAGGCCCCCGCAGAGCGACACCGGCCTCCCAGGGTTAGGGGTCTTCCCGCCAGGCACCGGGCCGAGCGCTCCGCGGATGCCGGCACGTTCCGCCGTCTTTTACCGAGGAGGAAACCGAGGCCCACGGAAGTAATGTGACCGGGTCACGCTGGAAGTGCCAAGGCCGCGTCTCCACCCAGGTAGGTCGCACCAAACGGGCGCCGTGGACCCCGGAGCCTGGAGGGGAACCGAGCAGGGGGTCTGGGGCAGCTAGAGGGCGGGGGGGTAGGGGGTGTCGGGAGACCCCGGGAGGGCGCTACGCAGCTGTGCGGACCCCGTGGACACGTGGGAGCCAGGGCAGAGCTTGCAGCTTGCCCAGGCGGCCGGAAGAAGCGGCCAGAGACCCGCGTCTCGGCCTGCGAGTCGCAGCCGGAAGCGCAGGGACTAGGGCTGGGTGGAGGCCCCGCCCCTTCCTCCCGCGCAGGACGTTCTGGGAGTAGTAGTCGCAGTTCTGTCCTCGAAGCATCCCTTCCGCCGCTCCGAGCCAGACCCGACAGTCAGCGCCGCCCGGAGCTCTGGGCTCGGCCGTCTCCAGCGGGGCCGGTGGGCGGAGCGGCCCGGGAAGTCGGCGGGCCCGGGGAGGGAGCCGATAGTCGCGTCTGTTGGCGGACATCCGAGAACTACAACTCCCGATCCGCATCGCGTCGGGCCCCGCCCCGAGCTTCCGGCCTGGCGGCGTCGCGCGGCCCTGTGGGAGCGGTAGTCCGCGCGCGCGATTCACAGCGCGGTGTGCGCCTCAGGCGCGCCGTAGCCGCGGGGCCCCGGCCGGGCGCTACGCTACGGAGGCGGCGTAGAGCGGGCGCCGGACGCGGGCCGGGTCGGGGCCGGGCCGGGCGCGCGGCTGCTCCGCTACTCAGCGCGGGAGCCCGGCGGCAGAAGTTGTGGAGCGGCCGGCGCCCGCGAGCAGGCCCGGGGCCGCGCCGCCCGGGCCGCGGGGACTGAGGAGGCGCCGCCTGGTTGCGGAGGTGAGTCCGGCCGGCAGTGCCGGGCTGGGCCGGGAGTGCGGCCTGGACCCGCGCCGGAGCCTCGCCACCGGGGGGCTGCCCCCACCGCACCCCAGCGGCGCGCCCCGAGCTCGGGCCGGAGCCCGGGCCGGGCTGGGGGCGCAGCCCGAGAGGGGAGCGTGCGCGGACCCGGGTCGTCTGGGTCGCCGGGAGGCCAGCCCCGGGGTGCCGCGGACGCGGGAGGCGGCCCCGGCCCCGGCCTGTCCTTGAGTGCCCTTACGGTCCAGGCGCGTTCTGCCCCCGCCGGCGTTGCGGGGAGTGTCCCCCCCCCCCGGTGCCCCCGCGGAGGGACCGCGGGCACTTCCCGGGGGCGGCGCCCGTCGGCCGCCCCACACTTCCCTGTTCCCTGTTCCTCTGGGGGCGGCGCTCCGGCCGCGGCGGAGTTCGAGGGGCCGGGGGACTCCGGGGAAGGTTGGCCGGGCGGCTGGGCGGCCCCTGCCTCTCCCTGCGGGCCTCCCTTCGCTCCTGACCAGGGGACCCTTGTGAGCCCCAGTGGCCCTGACCGCGAGGCTGTAGGGGCGGCCCCCTGACTGCGCGGGAGCTGGTGAGCAGGACCCCTGCGAGCCCAGGCCGGGAGTTTGGGGTCCTGCGGAAGAGCGCGGTGCCTCTGGGTGGGGGCGTGGGGGAGTGGGCTGCACTGGGGCCGGCGGGGAGGGCTGTGAGGGTTGGCTGGGTCATGTCCAGACTCCCCCCGGTGAGCAGAGACAGGCCGGGGTAGGAGGCGGGGGTCATCCATCCCTCCGCAGACCTGGCGACAGAGAGAACTGAAAGATGGGGCCTGTGGCAGGCCGGGGAGCTGCAGGGCAGTGCAGGGCAGTGCCGGGCAGTGCCGGGCGCAGACTCGTCCTGCAGGAAGCCGGCTCCGCCTGGCCTTGGGCTGGGCACCTCTGACGTCCTCTCAGGTCATCCTTCTCCCGAAAGGGCACTTCTCTCCCTTCCTTCTGCATCTGACCTCTCTGGAGCTGCTCCCCAGCGGACTGGCTGGTGACCTCGTGACCTCCTGAGAGCCCAGTTCGAGCCCTGCTGGGCCGAGGCTCAGGGACAGCACCGCTAGGCAGGCTCCCACAGGCCATGGGCGCTGAGGGCCGCGGCGGCGGGTCCCGAGTCCGCCGCTCTCCACCAGAGGGGCCCGCTCGACCGGCCGGACGGTGGTGCCCTTGGTGGACGCTCCCCGTGCTCTGGCCTGTGCACAGCTCTCCCGGCCCCTGTCGCGGCTAGTGCCGGGCTCAGCCGGGCTTTCAGACAAGCGGGCGGAGGCCAGGGGCGGCGGGGGCTGCACCTGCCGGCATCTGACCCGCGGGGCTGCCTTTGGACGGCCCTCGGCTCGCTCGGTCTCCCGGGTGGGTCCTGCACGGGGTACGGGAAGGACGCGCCCCTGCACTAAAATCCCTGTCCCTCGGGAACCGCGGAGTGACAGGGTGTGACGGCCCACGGTGTGCAGAGCCCGAGGGGCAGGCCCGCAGTCTTGCAGTCTGGGCGCAGAGCCGGCCGCCCCCTCCCCGCGTGCTGCCTCCGGCACAGAAGGTGCTAGAAGTACGGGGGCCTGGTCACATGGGAACCGCTTGGACGCTGGCAGGAACCTGGCCCCAGGTGACCGGTCACACGCACCCGCGGAGCGCAGCCCCGAGCTGCGTGGGGACGCGCGGGCTGGCTTGGCTGGTCGCTTCCTCAGACTTCCAAAGCCGCGGCCCAGACGCCGAGCAAGGGCTCTCGGGCCCTGGGTGTGCAGGACAAGCTCTGGAGTCAGGCCTGCTCCAGCTCTCCCCTCCCACCAGTGCTGCTCCTGACACGGGCTGGCCTCACGTCCCTTGGGTCCCGCCCCGCCCCCGCTTCCTCAGCACCAGTGCCCCAGAAGTGCCCCAGAGCAGGACTGTGATTGTGTCTGTGCCTTGATCTCTTCGGCCAAGCTGCTCGGCGTGGACCCAGGCTCCCCCACCTTGCTGCCTTCCTGCTCTGCTGAGGAGGGCCAGGCGACCTGTGCCGAGCTTGGACCCCGTCTCGAGCCGCGGAGCACACACAGACCCTCGGTGCTCAGCATCGTCCCGTCCACACGGAGTGGGTGGGCAGGGAACAGCCTCGGCCGGCTCCGTGCTGGCAGGCGGCTCCAGTCATCGCGGGGCCGTCCGGAATGGCGCCCCACAGCCCTTCTGGGTTGAGGAGTGGACTTACTGGCTTCCGCCCTCTCGGAATGAGCTGGAAGGAGGCTGTGGGGTGAGGCTGGGCTGCCTCCGCCTCTTGAGCTTGGAGACCTGCCCAGCCGTACCCTGTCACTCGGTGGGTCCTGGCAGCGGCTCAGGGAAGGGTCCGAGCAGGGCTCAGCAGACAGCCATGTCGGTGCCACCAGCACGAGAAGGGCCAGGTGCGGGGGCCGGGGGGCTGTGGGAGGACCGAGGGGTGTCCCGGCCCAGTGCGCACCGCCCAGGAGGGGCCGGTGGGGAGGTCCGCGACTCGCTCCCTCCTGCAGGGACTTGTCTGGGCACCAGGCGTGGATCCGCAGGAGACCGAGCGGAGCACAAGCGTGTCTCGGCCTCTGCCCCCGTGCAGGTGCCCAGCATCACGCTTCAGCCGCCGTTCCACGCCCTGCTCGCACTTTTCCCCACGACGGAGGGAAGCTCCGTGCCCACCTGCCCCGTGGCCAGGCTGGGGGATGGGCCCGGACGGTGCGCAGGAGCACCAGTAGGAGAGCAGGTTGATGGCCGCAGCTCAGCAGTGTCACGTGTGCCTGTGTCCGGAGGAGGCCTGGGCTGCGGCTTCTGCTCCTCCCCTGCCGTCACAGCCCAGACCCGAAGCAGAGCGAGTCCCTCCTTGCACTCCATCCCCTCCACATCCGCCCGTGCCCTTTGGAATTCAGCGCACCTCGAACCCCAGGACCTTCCACCCCCACCTGATACTCCCCTCCAGTCAGCAGGAGCGGCGGTATGTTCTAGAGCCCCGCCGATCTGGAAGGGTGGCTGCAGAGAGCCCCGAGCTCATGGGGCCCGGTCACCTCAGCTCCCCGGCTCCCCGTCTTCCTCCCTTGGGGTGAGCTGATGACCCCAGGAGCCTGTGCTGCCAGTGAGGCTGAGGTCGCCAGGCTGCCCAGGCCGAGGCTGCTTCTGCTGCCAGCTGGCGAGCAGAGGCACTGAAGCGCCCAGAGTGAGGGAGCGTGTCTGGAGCCCGTGTCTGGAGCCGGTCCCCTCTGCGCAGAAGACACGGTCAGATGTCGCGCGGTGTCAGACTCGCAAACTAGGGAATCCCGAGGACGTGCCTGTTCCTCCGAAAACGCTGCTGTGGGACACGTAGTTCGTTTCCTTGCTTGTGCGCGGCAGGTGCTGTAGGACACCGACACAGAAGGACATGCAGCCACCCTGGCCCCCGGGCCTGCGTGTGCGTCTGGTTTGAGAGACCCATCCCCTCCCCTCCCACCTTGGTGCCCCGATGTGCCCAGGATGCCGGCGGGGGATGGGGGTTAGCTGCATGGCGAGGAGCCCCGACGGCGGCCAGAACCTGTGGGCGCTGGGGAGTCCAGAAGTGCCAAGAGTGACCGCCGTCCTGTAGCGTGCTCAGGCAGCAGCTCCTGGTCTGGAGGGCAAGGGTTTGGGACAGAGCCCCGTCCATCCCTCTCGGGTTTGCTCACAGGAAGGGCTGGGTACCTTCCCAGAGCCCACAGCCTTAACCCTGACACCTGGCTCTCTGAGGTCAGCAGGCTGGTGACGTCACCTCTTGGGGCACAGGCTCTGGGGCCAGCAGGCAGGGGTGGCTGGCCTTGGTGTTCTCCGGAGGGCCACGGTGAGCCTGTGGCAGGGGCCACAGTGAGGTGGAGCCTGGGCCCTTGTTCGGCCTGAAGGACCTGAGGGGAGAGTACATGCCCCTCCCCACCAGGGTCCTCGAATGCGAAGGAGAGCAGAGCTGCTGGGCTTGGGGCGGGGTTGCCTCACTGGTGGGCAGGGTAGCCGCTGATGCGGGGAGCTGAGCCTCCAGAATCTCAGCTGCCTGGCTGCTCTCCTGGAGCCCTGTCCCCTTGGGTAACTTTCCCTGGCAACCCCCACCGCAGGCAGGCCCAGGCTGAAGGAGGCCCCGTCCCCGTGCCCCAGGATCCCAAACAGCCCCGTCTGCCACTCTGGCTGGCCCACGGTGGTCAGGGGTTTTGCACTAGG